GACCTTTACAATACAGTATTCAAATTTTGCAGCCACCAATACTGGCCTACATATACTATACCTATGTATACCAAGCTTGATGGGAAACGCACTGGTTCCAGTATTGTTATTATATGTAGTAAATAGAAATTTCAGGATACTTGACTGCACATACTGAAAAGGGCCAGTTATAGTCAAGTATAGTAAAGACCCAGTGCTGCTATTATCTACAATAAAATATTCTTTCAAGAGAAGGCTAAAATAAAGCCTCACACATGCTCATCAACATTTTATATACACCAGAAATGGAGAATGCTATAGATCAGAAGGGTGTGAATAATCTGAACGCTCTTCTACATACTTTAATGTTGCCTTCCCCCCGAATCAACCATCCGCAAGTCATTACAAGCACAGAGAGAGAGAGAATTCTCTAGAAAATGGAAGCTCAAACAAGGCGCATGTGTGAGCACTATCTACAAGAAAAAAAAAAAAAACACGTAATGGTCCAGCCAAAACACGTCTTCCTTTTTTTTTGGGGGGGGGGGTGAGATTCCATAGTGAAACCGGGAGGGACGGCTCGGACGGCGGGTGCTCTTGTCCGGTTAACTAACATAGGCACATCGGTTACAGGCTGATGATGATAGGAGGCAAGAGTTGGGCTCAGTTGAGCTCGTTACAATGTGCGCGGAAGATCGAGCGATTTTGGGGCCGACTGACCAAGTCTGTTTCCCACGTTCTGATCGGCATAACACATGAACCCGGTCCCGGCTCCATCGCGGACCTCTGTGTATGCAACCAATCGGCGAGGAGCCGTCATGTTATGAGTGAGTACCAAGCTGAGCTTTTCCGGTCAAGACCGATCGAAAGAGTTATGGATCGATCTTACTGACCAAGATATTGGGATTCGAGTTTATAGAAGAACGGGTACACGGTAGTCGCACCTCCGACCAAATTGCTAGCAGAATCGAGGGCATAACAGCCATGGAGAGCAAAGCCATCCCGAGCGTTGACTGATGGGGGATCGTGATCGGGGAGGGGGGGAGGGGCCCACAGAAAATTGAGTCCAAGGGAGTCGATGACCATCAATTCATATGGTCATGATAGAAAGAAGGTCTATAGATCTATGAACTCACAGCCAGGACAATCCCTCGCATCGCAACTAAAGACATGTCCATCTCGATTCTGACAGCCTACAAGAACGCACAAGATGAGAGCCAAGTGTGAGATGGCGGGAGAGGGATCGAGGGGGAGAAGACTGACGGGCAAAGTTATCGGGTCCAGCGATAGTGAAGTAGGATTCACAGGTCTGGGGCGGTTCATTGCCTCTGGCTCTTCGCACAAGAGGAGCCCGATGATGATGATGCGGGACGGGAGATTCGGCGAGTTGAACAGAGGCTAAAACCATCATCATCATCATCACAAGCATCACTGCATAATAGTGCTGGATCAATGGTCTCTGCAGGATCATCTCGTTGATTAAACCGAGTGCAATAAGGCGGATTGCAAGACTATTTCGGGAGCTTGGATGTTGGAGTGTTTAGATAAAGGTTGGCGATCCTGATCGATGCTATGTACTTTGTATCTGAGGAATGGCCCAGAGAAAAGGTTTGATATGTAGTTGGTTTTGAAAGTGTCCCCCTTCGCGAGGTTTTATGTACGATGGCGGTGACCGCCAGACACATCCATACCTCCGGCGGAGAAGTATTGATGCCGGTATTGTGGCGTGTTGGTTGTCGTCTTGCCCGCCTCTTCGTCCGGCTGATTTCTCGCCGCCATCCAACACCTTGAAAAGCGCCCTGCGGAAACGGGAGAGTTGATGGAGGTGTGTGCCCGGTGGCCAAGGGCGTCTCCAACCAGACGCCTCGGCCATGTCGTTGTGAATCACGCTTCAAAATGTACGAAGACATCATTGTAGGATACATAACACACGTTGGTTGGTACATAGCTGACCGACTTCTATACATAGTCTGGACGCGACCCCGTAGATTCCCCAGGTCCGCCGTATACAAAGCGCGTTGAGGCTCCTTCATCGCACCACTTCCAAGTTCGTCGGTTGTGATTATGTAGAAGTGGTCTTCTCTGATCAGCCTCATGCTGTCCCTCAATTGAAGTAGGAGTGTGACCACCGTCAGGTCGATGGTGACGCTTCCGTGCGTTGGTTGACTACATAGATATCTGGAGTTGCCAGTAACGACCGAAGGAGCGAGGCCGACGAGTGGTCAGGCGTACGGGGTTGCCGGGGGTCCGGGTAGCCGAGGGCGGCTTGGTTCCCGAGCCGTTATTCATGATCACGTCCGGGGACGCATCCTTTTGCGGTTAGCGCCTCACGAGGGCAGGGGATCGAGGCCGAGAGGAGCTGGACCGATTCCAAGCGGTTGCCAGTCGCCAGGAGACATGGGGTGGGGGTGGGGGGAACAGGATGTTCGGTCGAGATTGAAGAGGGGTGTAGGTTTTTTTTTCGAAGAGAACTGTCTGAACATGAGGGGGTTGATCAAAAGCTCCAACGTCAAAACGAAGGTATACTGCTCAGAAGGAAGAGATCACATCCATCCCGCTCCCGTCGTCCTGGAGGGCGAGGTGGTTCTTGGTTGTGTCGTGATGGTTCCCAAGCCCGTCGGACGGGCAAGGGTTAGGACGAATCTCTGAGTCGGTGTTGCAATGCAGATGGTGAAAAGGATACACATATAAGGGTCCTATTCGATGGATTCCTCTGTGCTTGGCAAACTGCAATCCCTTCGGACTCACCATTTTCGCATCTTCTTTGCTCCCCTTTCCCTTACCCTTTCTTGGTGAATAGTAGCCAATCAATTGTGTATCAAACTTGTCCCACTTTTAAGCGCCCTTTTTTTAGCATCAATATGGCTGGCAAACAGACTCCGGCCCTCTGGCAAGGGCTTTTCACGCTTTTCTCAATCTTGTCCTTGATCTTCTCCGGAGCCCTTGCCGACGAGACTGCTCCCGGACACAAGCCCGGAACCGCTGACTCTTCGAAATCCGCCATCCCGCGTTTAGTTGGGTACGTGCTGCCCTGGGTCTCTTTTCATCTGACTACATAATCTCACCTATTCCAATAGTGCAAACCTGCTTATTTTGTTCCGTCGGTTGCCATGTGGCCT